AAAAAAAAAAAAAAAAAAAAATTTGCGTTCACCTCACTAGTATTTTGTTGTAAATCACCACTACTAGGCTGCTCAGTGACAATCGTAGTAACATTGCTGGCCTCCTCGTTTGCTTTTGTATCATACTCCTCAAAATGTTCACTGAGATGCAGAAAACTATCAAAAAAGCACTGTTTGCAACAATCATAGACGATGACATTGTAATTGTAGAAGTCAAGCCACACTACTTCTGATAGGAAATAGAAAGATAGAAAAAACCTCGTTGAAATCAGGCCCCTTTGGTTTGCATTTCCCGCAACAGAAGTTACAGCAGAAGCAGCAGCAACAACAAAAGCAAAAGCAACATCCTGTGAGAATTCCTCCAACAATAAAGGCGACCTAAAAAATTATAATAATTCAAACGAAATAAGAGAAAAAATAAAGTGCATTATTACTGTGAAGAAATTAAATAGATGTACTTAATCTATTACCTTCATCCAAGGATTGAATGCTAGCCGAAGGATTCTATCGTCGTCACCGAATTGTTCCATTAATTTCAGACCCATCTCACCGTAGTCATCGTAAATTCGTCGCTTACTAGGATTCTCCAGTATGCTATTAGCATAATTAATTTGAATAAACTGAAATAAAATTTTATATTTGAATCACCAAAAGAAAAGCGCCAAAAATTTTACCTTTTCTGTCTTTTCTTGATCACCGTCTAGATTTTTGTCTGGGTGATACCTTAGTGCTAATTTCCTATATGCTTTCTTTATCTCTTCCTGTGTAGCTGTTTTTGGAACACCAAGAATATCGTATAAGTTATTGCCTTTTGTTCTGAAACAACAAAGAAAAAGAAGGAAGATTACAGCAACAAAACGATTCATAAAATCCTTTGCAAAAAAATAAAAAAGAAAAGAGTCAAATTTTTCTACACTTAGGCCAATTGGAGGTGTAAAAATACAACTAACGAATCATGACGAGGGAAGTTTTCTGGTCGTCTAGGTCCGCTAGCTGATCCATTCTCATCTGCACTCTGTGCCATCGAATAGTTTCTCTTGGTCTAAACTTTGTAAAACTGATCAGTTTGAAAAAAAAAAAACTAGTTATGGATTCAGCATACACCACATTAAGTTGATCAAAATCAATAAAAACTGTATTAAGAAAAGATAAACAAAATTTTTATCATTTGTTACAGTCAATATTAGCAGTTCGCTGATATCTGTCATGTAGGGTAATAGCAAGAGAAAAAAATATATAAAAGAAGAAACGTTGAAGCAGATAACGGTTCAATTACACTGAAAATGTTTTTATAATGATAATCAGGAAAAAAAAAAAGTACAGGAGATATATTTTTTTTTTTTCAAATGTTGTATAGACTAAAAACGCTTCAAGCCACAAATTGCGTATTAATTTGATTGCCGAAAAAAAAAAATCTTTTCACCTATTTATAAAACATTTAAACATTTATACACACCTATATCTGTAATATATAAATTATAAATAGAGGAAAATAAACTGATCAGTAAAGCACAAAAATCGTGCATATAACAATGATTCACTGAAGCACTTTAAACGATCGCTATATGTGTCTTGCAAATCACTAAAGAAAGGCATGTTGAAAAGTCAGCAAAAAAAAAAAAAAAAAAA